GGCATCAAAGGTGAAACCATAGTATTTTCTAGGTATGATTTGCAACTCTAGGAGTTGGCGACTATTAATAAAAGTGTGTAAAGCAATATTCTACTTTTAAAGTATACAATATTTATGAAGTCTCTGATCCAATCAGATTATTTGAGAATATCTCAAAGTTCCTAATCCCTAGTGATCAGATTGAATGGAAATGTGTAAAATGAACTTGTTTATTTTGTTGTTTATACCAACCTTCGCATCTAACTATGTGTAAAGAAGAATACACCATAGTACATTTGGTGTTTTTCCTTTTTAGGAAAGTATTTATCAAGATTTCTTGATAAGAGAGGCATACATTATTTTAAGTTGAAAATAATCAGATAACTCTGATTAAACCCTTCAAATAATGAATTTCATTTTTTATTCATCTCAATAAATTATTTTCTAACTCAAAAGATGAGTATTATAGAGTTTTATAACAAAAGGGTGCATATAATGATAAAACAGGGGTGCAGAAAAGTGTAAGGCCCAACACGGACCAAAGAGGTTGAACCACATATGCCCAATTGGTTAGCACGTTGTGAAAACAGACTAGAAGAGCTTGGCACGGATAATTTCAAATGAAATCCAATCCAAACTTTCTCCTCAAGCAAATCAAATCCCAACATTAATGAAGATCGTATAAAATCCTAAATAATTAGGCTTACTAATTGATTATAATCTTTAGCTAATCAATTAACACTCTTAATTTGGTAAGATTTTTGATTTGATTTTCAATCAACGTAATCTACATTAAATTCCTACCAGGAATACACGATCAAATTTTTAGATGGCACACTATAAATAAGTATGCTCCTGCATTCTCTTGCAATGCATATTTTTATTCAAATCTGTGAGTATGAGATTGTTCTTACAAAATCATCATGAACTCTAACAAACTAAGCTTTTCCATCCCCTTCTCTGAGTTCTTCACTACCAAACAAAACGAAGTAAGTTTCTTTCAATTTTTTGCCAACCGATCTCTTGTAATAATTCACACCCTAGATCTACAAGACTTCAAAGAATTCAAATTCTTTAAGACCTTCGAAGAAATCAACTTGTCCACCTTTCTTTGTATGCCCTAAAAAAGGATATATCCATCCTTGGTAAAGATGTTTTTCTCAAATCTTTATATCATTGATGGAATACTTATAAGTGAAGTAAAAAGGCATAGGATAACTCTTTCAGTGGAAGAAATTGGAGAGATGCTAGGTCTCCCTAATAAAGACACCATCATCGAATCCAATGACAAAGTAAACATATATAACTACATCGTTATTGCATCCTCTATTACGAAGGAACAATCATCATTCATACTTCATCACTTCATTGTTGGATACATCCACCCCGAGATTCGTATAACTCACTATGTGATTAATCACACACTTTTTCCAAGAAAAATTAACTTCAGCCTCATAATCCAACCGGATGTGAAACAATATAGTTAATAGAAAACGAAGATAAACTAGGCACAAAAAGTAATCAGCTACATGTTGGAGAACAAGAAAGAATAAGCATGTCTTCCATGTGGGAACCTAGTCACAAAGTTTCTGGAAGAAACAGGGTACAACTTTGGAGATGAAGAATTATAAGAAGAAACAACTAAAATAGGAAAATATGTCTTACCATTAATGAAGTTTGAGATCGTAAATGGAAGAGTAGCTTAAAAGCCTCCATCAAATGATAAGAAAAATAGCCAAGAGTCAAGAAATACCCACAACCCTGATAACTCCACTTCTCAACTACCCACAATCAAAGACATGCTCCAAATCATAAGTGCAAAGATAGATGCAGTCAATGACAAGATCGACTTTATAGTCCGACACTTCATTCCATACCAAAATTAGCTACCACGTGACCTATTTTACTATGATGATCTTGATGAAGAATAGTATCACCAAGTATTAGAGTTTGATAAACTTGATTATCTGATGATGGAAATAAATTGGAATATATAATCAACCTTATTTCAAGTGAACTCAAGAAAGTGCTACAAAATAAAGCATCTGATAAAGTATTGAAGTACGAGAAAGCCCTACCATGACTATTCTGAGTGAATACTTTGTAAAGAAAAATGAAATTCTCATAAAAGTGTATGTCTAAATCACACACATACACGCACGCATGCACACGCACACACACATATACGCGCACGCGCACACCCGCACACATACACACACACACACACATACACACACACATACACACGCACGCACAAACAAACACACACACACACACACACACACATACGCGCTCTCTCTCACACACACACACACATAATCACACAAACACATACAAAAACATATTTTCTAAGTGATTTTCTCAAGAAAAATATCTTTAAAGTTATCTTGAAGTTGTGCCAGATGAATTAGAAAATGTCAGAATAGCTATGGGTAATGTTTTGTCCTGTCTAATTGATTAGGGCATTAGTATAATCGATTAGCTCAGTTCAAAATTGAGCTCTAAGTAATTAGAACATCATTTTAATAATGTACACAACTAGATAATTTTTATTTCCTTTTTTGAAATGGTAATCAATTACCTTTTAAGTTTCTAAACGATTATCATTAGGTGATAATCGATTAACTTGTCTTAAAAAGCATTAAAAATAATTATCTTTTTGAGCCAACCCCATTTCTAACCATCAAAAATTGTGTTTTTGACATTTCTCTCTTTCTCTCTCTCTCTCTCTCAACATTTTCTTTTACTTTCTCTCACTAATATTTTAGCCGAAGTGTTTCTGCGAGAAAGTTCTTTTGTGAGCGAGAATAAGTTGTAATTCTGGAATGGTAGAATTGTAAAATTCACCAAGGGGATTTTTTGTTTGTTTATATCTTTGTTGGATATTATCCATTTAGGGATTGTTTGAGTTATAACCTAAACTCGAAAATTTTTTGGTTTGGGATTGGTGTGATCAGGCCTTTGTTTAGGTTTGAGATCAGCCCATGGTAAAATCTCATATGTTCTTGGTTAGCCTATGGTAAAACAAAGGTTAGGTTAAATCTTAGTCTGTGATAAAAGCTTGGATAACGTTCAAGATTAGCCATTGATTAAAATCTGTTAGGTTATTGGTTAGCCCGTGTAAAACAAAGGTTTAAAGGTTTGTGAGCTCAGCCTGTGGTAAAAGCTTACAAATTTTGTTTTGAAGCTTGAAAATTAACCGCTCCAAGATTCTCGTGGAGAAAAGACTAACCGCCTAAATCTATTATTTGTAGGAAGAGGAGTAACCACTTCAATCCACCGTTTGGAGAAAAATACTCAATTACTAAGTTTCAAGTTTTAATATTTGGTTGGAAATCAACATATTTTCCTTATATATGGGAGTTCGTGAGTATTACCATCTAAAAGCTCTCAAAGCATATTGGATAATCTCAATATCAATTCCTGGGGACATGAGTAAGTCGTTTCTTATTGAACCTGTATATTTCTTGGTGTTCCTCTCTTTTCGTTAACTCTTTAATTTTTCCAATTTATATTTTGCAATTTATTTTTCTACTACTTAATAGTTAAACTTTTTCAAAATGATTTTAAACTCTAATTCCAATCCGAATTTTTTCTAAACCAATTTTTTAACCACACAATTCACCTCTCTGTTGTGTGAGAAGTTACATGTTCAACAAATTGCTCAAGGTTCTTTGGAACATATATGAAGAAACTAACTTAGATGCTACAAAGGCATCGAGCATGTGGGTTCTTTAGAAGACATATGAAGAATCAAGCATAGGTGTTACAATTGGAGTGCCGCACCCAACTACTTCCAATGGTATTTCAGAGCGTCACATCCTTATATGATATAAGATGTTCTAGAAAATCCACCTCAGTCAGCTCATTAGAAGATATTAGAGGAGGAACAAGTTATGAAAGATCATGTTATTAATGTATTGCCTAGATGTTGTCGTATCATAGAGATTGGGCAAGCGGGTATTGACAGAGAACTCTTTTTGGATGGTTGTGAGGTCAGAGATGTTGTAGATTCCATGACTAGGGAGGTACTGCAGTACATAAAGAAGCGTAGGAAATAAGGGGGCCTAAGTTCGTCATACGCAGTACTTTACAATATTTTTATTCTAGGAGCACTATTATAGGTTGTATTTTATTATGACTTCATTTTGTACTCCAGATTTTATATATATATATATATATATATATATATATATATATATATATATATATATATATATATATATATATATATATATATATATATATATATATATATATATATATATATATATATATATATATATATATATATATATAATCGGTTGTATGGCTTAATTTATACAAAATTGATGAAAATGATACTATAGCTATAATATATCATAAAATTCATCAAATCATATATAAATCAAAGTAAAATATTATTGTCTGGTGTGACTTTAAAGATGCATTTTCTTATTCTGTCTGATATGAATACGAAGATGCGCCTCCGAAACAGTTTATGTCAAAAAAGGCGTTGCATTGAAGAATGATTTAGGTGTACATGAAATTGTTTCGGAAATGTAATTTTAGAATTGATTTTTTAAAACAATATAGAATGAGTTTTAATTGGGACGCGTTTCAATAAGATAAATTGTGGATCTGAAAATAATCTCTAAAATTAGAAAGACAATTTCAAATTTTAGTAAGCTGCTTTTTTATTTTTATCTATGTAGGGAGACCAAACAATCAATGACTTACTAAAAAGACCCACTTTTAAATAGTTATATGACCGACAAAATTAATGAGTTGTTTCTAGATTAAAGTATATAACTACTCAAGGTTCCTTGGAAGATATATGAAGAAACTAACTTAGATGCTACAAAGGCATCGAGCATGTGGGTTCTTTGGAAGATACATGAAGAAACGAACTTAGATGCTACAAAGTTATATATCAAAATCTCAATCATTAATTAAACCATCATATTATTAACTTACTATAGAAGCTTTCATGGTATATATCCTAGAAAACTAACAAAACTATTTGAAATGAAATTTACAAAATGACTTTGAGCAAAAATGTCATAGGAATCATAAACTTCATTGCAGTACTCCTCTCAATCCCTATCATAGGTGCTGGTATTTGGCTAACAACTTTACAAGCAGAATCATGTGTAAAAATCCTACAATGGCCAGTGATCATTTTAGGGATACTAATTTTCATTGTTGCTATGGTAGGCTTGGTTGGAGCCTTTTGGAGGATACCAATGCTGCTCATATTCTATCTCATTGCGATGATTGTGCTCATTGTATTGTTGGGTTCTTTGGTGATTTTTGTTTATTTTGTGACACTTAGAGGACATGGAAATATTGAACCTAATAGGTCATATTTGGAGTATCGTGTGGATGATTTTTCAATTTGGCTAAGAAGAAGGGTTAGAAGTTCACATAAGTGGGATGGAATAAAGAGGTGTCTTAGTTCATCAAGTATTTGTGCTGAGTTGAATCAAAGCTATCGGTTGCCTCAAGATTTCTTTAATGCACACCTATCACCCTTGCAGGTAAGTTCCTTAGATCATTGATTATAGAAAATAACCCCTTCATATATGTTTTAAATACTCATGTTATAACTGTTGATTAATTCCCTTTATTTTTTCTAATTAAACTGGCTCATTTGGTCCCTCTAAATACATTATTGAGGTGGCAAAACGGACCCGTCCCGTTAACTTTGTCTGTTTTGTCCATACTTTTACGCGAATGAATCAAGAGTTTAGGTCTACATCCTCTAATATGTTCGCTCTGCCTCCATCATGTATTTTTGCAAGCTCAGACATTAACAATTTTTTGTTGTTGCAATTTTTAGTCTTTAAAGATGTAATGTCCGTATGTCCGCCCGTATTGTTCTCTTTTTTTTTTTTATGACGGATCAGAGTTTTAAATTCCCTTTTTTATTTAATTACTTGTTCATTAAGTAAATTAGTCTTAAAGCAACCACAAGTTATAATTAATGAAAGCACTCAGATTTCTTACCTAAAGAAAAAGTTATTACATATTCTTTCCCCACAAAACATGTTATTCCTCTTAAACCCTTTATTTGTTTTGCTTTTTAATTTAAATTCTCATGCAGTCAGGGTGTTGCAAACCGCCAACAAAATGTGGCTACACATTTGTGAACCCAACTTATTGGATTAGTCCAATCAACAATGGTGAAGACATGGATTGCATGAAATGGAGCAATGATCAAACACAACTTTGCTACAATTGTGATTCATGCAAAGCTGGTCTATTAGCAACACTTAGGAAAGATTGGAGAAAAGCCAATGTGATATTGGTTGTCACATTGGTTGGTTTAATTGTTGTGTATTTGTTTGGGTGTTTTGCTTTTAGAAATGCCAAAACTGAGGAGCTTTTTCGCAAATACAAGCAAGGATACACTTGAAATTAATAGATTGATTTTTTTTATTTGTTGAAAATCTAGGAGATTAGATTATCAGCATGAGGATGAATGGTGAAATGGGATCATTTTGCTGTCTTAATTATGAGAATTTGTAGTGAAAATATATATATGAAATTGATGTACTACAATGTATGTGTTTGTCATGTAATGTTAAATCATTTTTCATGAATGCACCATAGGACTTTTTCGCATAAGTCGGTTTGTTATAGATTTAAACAAAATAATAATTTTTTTCTTTGTATTTTGAAAAAAGATCTTATGAAACCATGATTTAAAATATAAAGAATATCAGATCAGGACAGCCCGATCCATATTAAGGATCCAACATCATTACATCAAGAATATCAAAACAAACAAACTTAACTATTTGGCTATTTTAAGTTATGGTGCTAGTGTTTACATGTGTCTTTAATACTCTATGTGTAGTGAATCTCATAACATTTGACAAAAGTGATGGAATTTTTTAAGTTAAAGGCAACTTCAGCCTGAGTGAATATTTTTGCATTTCTTATTGTGAGATGTTGGATCGAACTCTAATATAGTCGAAGTTTGTTCGCAAATAATGCGTGTTGTAGTCGAAGTTTGTTCTAACATGCATTAGTCAATATTGCTAGGGTTGTTAGCATGTTGAATTGGGCCTTGCTTGTAAGCCCAATTGTTTAAGTTAGCTTGTACCTAAGTTGGCTTGTAATGGGTAATTGTTAAAAAGCCCATTAGGTTAGTGTGCTATTTTATTATAAATAGGATGCTAGTTTCTCAATCTTGGCATAAGGAAAAATAGGAAGATAAAATCCTAATTTTAAGGGAGAGAGGTTATTTTGTTATTCTTGTATACTTGTAATCTTGTTCTAAGAGAAAGGAAAGAATAACAGTTTAATAACCAATCCTTGTTGTTCCTTGTTGTTTTACCTTGTTTTCTTTGTTAACCATAACCCTTGTGTGTTTCTTGATCATTAAGAAAGCATTTATACTTTGTTTAAAGGTATCCGATTCACAAAAAATTGGTGCGGTAAGCGTGGAGAAGATGCCTTCAACAAAGTATGAGATCGAAAAGTTCACCGGAGTGAACGACTTCGGTCTGTGGCGCTTGAAGATGAAAGCCCTATTGGTTCAGTAGGGTTATTTGGAAGCGTTGAAGGGTGAGACAGCCATGGACGCTGCGTTAACGACAAAAGAAAAGACGGGCATGATCGAGAAAGCCCACAGCGCAATATTATTGAGCCTTGGTGATAAGGTTCTTCGACAGGTATCAAAGGAGACTACAACATCGAGATTATGGGTGAAACTTGAAAGTTTGTACATGACCAAATCTCTAGTGAATCGACTCTACCTGAAGCAAGCTTTATATTCATTCAAGATGAGTGAAGACAAAGTGTTGGCTGAGCAGTTGGATATGTTCAACAAGCTGATTCTTGATCTTGAAAATATTGATGTGAAGATCGATGATGAAGATCAAGCACTGTTGCTGCTGTGTGCTTTGCCCAGAACACATGCTCACTTCAAAGAAACTCTCTTGTATGGAAGGGAGTCTTTGACCTTTGAAGAAGTTCAATCAGCCTTGTATTCTAAGGACTTGAACGAACGAAAGGAGCATAAACCTTGGTGGGCGAAGGTTTGGCCGTTAAGGGAAAATTCTTGCGAAAGGATGGTAAGTTCGACAAGAAGAAAGGTAAAAGTCAACAAAAGTCTTATAGTGGCGAAACATCTAGTATTCAATGTTATCACTGTAAGAAGGAGGGTCACATAAGAAAGGTGTGCCCTGAACGTCTGAAAGATCATGGAGGTAATGGCAATGCAGCCATTGTTCAAGATGACTTCGACTCATCTGATGTTCTTGTGGTTTCAAGTGGTGACTCGAGGAAAGAGTGGATTATGGATTCAGGTTGTACTTGACACATGACTCCAAACAGAGAATTGTTCGAGGAGCTATGTGATCAAGATAGTGGATCTGTGCTGCTGGGAAACAACAAATCTTGCAAAATTGCAGGTATTGGATCTGTAAGATTCAAGCTCCATGATGAGTCAATAAGGTTATTGACTGAAGTCAGGTACGTACCTGACTTGAAGAGAAATTTGATTTCTCTTGGTGAATTCGACAGAAAAGGATACGTTTTTCAAGGAGAGAAAAGTATCCTAAGAGTCATGAAGGGGTCGAAGGAAGTCTTGAGAGGCGTGAAGAAACAAGGTTTGTATACCCTTAAGGCTGAGGTTGTAAGTGGTTCGACAAATGTTGCATCCACGAAACTTATGTCGAAGACAGAATTATGGCACATGAGATTGGGCCATGTCAGCGAAAGAGGCCTGGTCGAATTGGGGAAGCAGAACCTGCTAGGAGGTGACAAAGTCGAAAAGTTGGAATTTTGCGAATCTTGTGTATTTGGTAAATCCTGTAGGGTGAAGTTTAACAAAGGCAAGCAAAGAACACATGGATCCCTGGATTACATTCATGCTGATCTTGGGGGCCTGCAAGGAATCCTTCACACTCAGGTGCAAGGTATTTTCTATCCATCGTTGATGACTATTACAGAAACCTATGGGTATTCATTCAGAAGACGAAGGATGAAACTTTTGAGAATTTCAAAAGTTGGAAGATTCTGGTAGAAACTCAAACTGGCAGAAAGGTTAAGAGGTTGAGAACCGACAATGGCCTTGAATTCTGCAACGAAGCGTTCAACAGTTACTGTGTTGAGTCTGGGATTGCAAGACATAAGACTGTAGCAAATACTCCTCAACAAAATGGCTTAGCTGAGAGATTCAATCGAACAATCCTTGAAAGGGTTAGATGCATGTTGGTTAGTGCTGGATTGAAGAAGGTGTTTTGGGCGGAAGCTCTTTCGACAGCAGCTTACCTGATAAATAGATGTCCCTCGACTGCCTTGGGAATGAAGACACCTGAAGAAGTTTGGTCGGGACATCCACCTAGTCTCGACAAACTGAGAGTATTTGGCTGTGTGGCCTATGCTCATATTAGGCAAGACAAGGTCGAACCTAGAGCTCTGAAATGCATGTTCATGGGATACCCTGAAGGAGTCAAAGCTTATAGGCTATGGTTCCTAGAGCCAGGTCACAGGAGGTGTATCACCAGTCGAGATGTAGTTTTCAATGAAACAAAGATGGCTTTCAAGAAAACTAATGATGCTGACGAAGAGCTGGAACAGGGAGAAATTCCCGTTGAGGTGGAGGATGTTGATGTTGAATTGTGTACCCCAGATGAAGTCGAAGAAGACGCAGAAAATGTTGTCGAAGATGAGGAGACTGATAATGACTACCTGCTAGCAAGAGACAGGTCGAGGAGAGTCATCAAGCCACCTCAGAGACTTCGGTATGCAGATCTTATAGCTTATGCCTTAATCTCTGCTAGTGAGGTTCTAGATGAAGAACCTAGAGACTATAAGGAAGTTATGAGGAGTCGAAAGAAGACTGAATGGCTGAAGGCCATGGATGATGAGATGAAATCTCTTCATGATAACAACACCTGGGAACTGATCAAGAAACCTGTTGGAGCCAGGTTAGTCAGTTGTAAGTGGATTTTAAGGTACATAAATGGGTCTCTGAATAGAGTCCTAATTTATGGTGGAGCCTTGGGTGAAGATAGTAAAGCAGCAATCGAAGGATATGTCGACTCTGATTATGCAGGTTGTATGGATTCCAGAAAATCTATCTCTGGATATGTGTTCACTATGTTTGGGACAACAATCAGTTGGAAAGCAACACTTCAGAAGGTCGTTGCCTTATCAACCACTGAAGCGGAGTATATTGCCCTAACTGAAGCTGTGAAGGAAGCATTGTGGCTTGAAGGTTTTGCAAAGGAGCTAAAACTTCAAGGTCGAGTTATCACTGTTAAATGTGATAGTCAAAGTGCGATACACCTGTCGAAGAATTCAACCTATCATGAGCGAACCAAGCACATTGATGTGAGGTTGCATTTCATCAGAGGGGTAATCGAGCGTGGAGAAGTCCAAGTGCTGAAGGTTTCGACAGATCATAATGCTGCTGATATGATTACTAAGACGTTGCCCAGTTGCAAGTTTTTCCACTATATGCAGTTAATAAAGCTGCATGAAGAAAGCTAGTTCCTTGATGTTATAGAGTTAGATCCAAGGTGGAGATTTGTGAGATGTTGGATCAAACTCTAGTATAGTTGAAGTCTGTTCGCAAGTAATGCGTGTTGTAGTCGAAGTTTGTTCTAACATGCATTAGTCAATATTGCTAGGGTTGTTAGCATGTTGAATTGGGCCTTGCTTGTAAGCCCAATTGTTTAAGTTAGCTTGTACCCTAAGTTTTCTTGTAATGGGTAATTGTTAAAAAGCACATTAGGTTAGTGTGCTATTTTATTATAAATAGGATGCTAGTTTCTCAATCTTGGCATAAGGAAAAATAGGAAGATAAAATCCTAATTTCAAGGGAGAGAGGTTTTTTTTTATTCTTGTATACTTGTAATCTTGTTCTAAGAGAAAGGAAAGAGTAGCAGTTTAATAACCAATCCTTGTTGTTCCTTGTTGTTTTACCTTGTTTTCTTTTTTAACCATAACCCTTGTGTGTTTCTTGATCATTAAGAAACCATTTATACTTTGTTTAAAGGTATCCGATTCACAACACTTACTCTCCGTGTCTGGTATACAGTTTCTATAGTAGAAATCTTCAACTTCAGCCTTTCTTTTATGTTTCATTTATAATCCATTATTTTTCAGTACTCCATTTTCTGGTTTTTCTGTTGTATCCTAACCAGTTCAGAATGCCTTCCCACAACTGGTTTGTCGTGTTACACTCAGAGAACATGTGATCAAGTTTTCAACTTGCTCACAAAAGATGCATTTTCCACAAGTTACACCAACGTTTGCAAGTTTATCTTTGGTGTTGAGTTGTCCCATAAGTGCAAGCCAAAGAATAAAGTTTGTCCTTGGTCTAGCATAGTTGTTGAGTAGAATGTTCTTCAAAGTTACTTGCTCTTTTTCACCTCTCAATTATCTATATACAATATT